GGGCAAGGCTCGCCCGGTCGAGGTCGAGGTCGGCCTGCCGGCGGTGCCGCCAGAAGAGGACGGAGGGCTCCGAGTGGGGGCGGGTGACGGGCTCCCCGCAGACGAAGAGCTGCACCACCGCCCCCAGCACCAGCGCCGCGTTCAGCGCCCAGAAGGCCAGCGTGGGCCACAGCCACTGCGACCACCCCCACGGCTCCTCTGCGCGGGGAGGGGGTCAGCGCCGCCCCGTCGCCTCCGCCCTGCGCCCACCCCAGGGTCTCCATCCCAGTGGCCTTCACCCTGAGCCTCCACTCCAATGGTGTCTACCCCAACAGCCTCCACCCGATGGCCTCTGCCCCACGTCCACCCCAGCATCCTCCACCCTGATCGTCTCCCATCTCGGACCTACCCCAGACCCCCCTCCTGATGGCCTTCACCCCACGTCCACCATGACCGCCTCCACTCTAATGGTCTCCACTCCCATGGCCTCCATCCCGACGGCCTTCACACCATGCCCACCCCAACAGCCTCCACCCTGATGGGCTCCACCCCAACAGCCTCGACCCAGGTAGCCCCTACCACATGCCCACCCCAACATCCTGCACCCCGATGGTCTTCACCTCAACAGCCTCTAGCCCATGCCCGCCCCGATGGCCTCCATCCCAATGGCCTTTGCCCCATGCCCACCCTGACAGCCTCCACCCCGCACCTATCCCAACAGCCTCCATCCCAGTGGCCTCCACCCTGTGCCCACCCCAACAACCACCACCCTGACAGCCTCCATCCCAATGTCCTCCACCCCAAGAGCCCCCACCCTATGCCAGAGCTTACCCATGGTGCCAGACTCAGCCATGATGCTCCTGCCGGGGCCAGCGGTGCCCGGGCTCCCCACAGGGGCTGGGGCACCGGCACCCCGGAGGAGGGAGGCCAGGGGGTTGAAGGAGAGGCAGAGGAAGACGAAGGCGCAGAGGGCCATGCGGGAGCGGTCCAGCATGCCCTGGCTGCTGGGCGAGGGTGGCGGGCGCTCCTGCTTCACCTGCGTGGGCAGAGCTGCTGTCAGTCCCGGGGCACAGGCATGGGGCACAGGCATGGACACGGGGTGTGGACACGGGGCACAGGCATGGGATACGGGGCATGGGGTACAGGGCATGGGGCACGGGTGCAGCAGCCCAGTGCACCCCAGAATGCCCCCGCACCCCTCCCTCCAGCCCCAAATCGGGTGAGGAGCAGCCTCAGGGAGCAAGAGGGCTCTCGGTTCCTCTCCCCATGCTGGCATCTGGCATGTTTTGCTCTTGGCACCCCCGGGGTGATGCAGCAGATCCCCCGCCCCACTCGGGGCAGGGGGATCCCTCCCACAGCCCCCACACCTTGCTGTGGTCGCAGAGGGGGCTGTCGGGCTCCGAGTCGCTGCTGCTGTTGCTGCTGCCCCCGCTGAGCGAGAGCGGGCTGCTGTGGGACGGTGAGCCCACGTCCGAGGGCGGCGGCGTCAGCATCTCCATCACCTCCGCCTTTACCACCTCCATGGGGGCCTCCGCCTTCGCCCCCCTGCTGCAGGAAGCCACCAGGTCCTTCAGGGACTCTGCGGGGAGCAGAGCAGGCTGAGGGGTGCTATGGGGGTACGGCAGCCCCAGCGCCGAGGCTGAGACCCCCCGGGACCTGCCCTTCCACTCACGGTTCTTCTGCACGGCCATCTTCAGGGTGAGGTTCTCCTGCTTCAGCTTCTGGTTGCTCTGCTGCAGGAAGCGGATGTACTCGATCGCCTTCCTCAGGATTGCCGACTTGTTGAGCTGCCGGCGGACAGGAACGGCTCAGCCCAAATGCCAGGAGAAGCCTCCCCTTGCCCAGCCCCTGTCCCACTGCCCCCCGGGCTCCCACCTTGGCCTCGGTGCCCACCACCAGGTCCTTGAGCTCCACGATCTTGTCGTTGATGGAGGAGCGGTAGCGTTTCTCGATGGCGTTGTGCGCCGTGCGCTTCTCCCCCCTGCTCTGCACCAGGGCCGGCTTCCCGCTGGGCGCCAGCCGGTTGATGGGCAGCTTCTCGGCGTCCACCACCAGTGGCACCGTGGCCAGGATGGTCCCTCCGCTCACCAGCGCCTGTGGGGATGCGGGATGGCATCGGTGGGGGTCCCGGAGCATCCCCCCACCCCGGACCGCCCTGGCCGTGGGACCTACTGGCACCTGCAGCGGGGTGGCAGAGCCGCTGGCACTGGTGGCCAGGGAGGCGATGCTGGAGGTCTTGGCGCTGCCGGCATCCGTCTTGACGGCCGTCAGCAGTAGGGAGTCAGCCTTTATGAAATGGGGCTGCAGCAGGACCTGGGGGCAGGGGGGTGTCAGCGGGG